CAAACAAAAGACGAATCGACGAGATTTGAAAATCGCGTAACTCCGGGTTCGCGTAAGTCGGGGTAGCGTAAGTCAGGGTATGACTGTATTTATAATTATAATAAAGTTACAATAAATTAAGTTAATATATAATTATATGTACAGTACCTAATTTATATATAATTTATATATAATACTGTACAGACAATAGAAATCTCTCCGTAGCGTGGCGCTACGGACAGCGGGAAAGTAGTTCAGCTGCCCGATGACGTTTTACGTAATTATAGGAGTTTTTTTTTTACCTTTTTTTACGGATACCGTCACAATTTTTTCGCAGTTTTATAGGAATCGTAATTATAGGGACCTTAATTATAGGGGGTTCGACTGTATTAACATTGAAAAAAAATATATCTTAAAAAATTTAAAGCACGATATTTTCGATTGGTGTCTACTCGACCAATGAATTGCATCATTCCGTACCATTCGGGTATCGCAATAAACGTGATAACGGTAGGCCAAAATAACCAAACTCTTTACGTGATTTTCGTTTGAATATTCGTTATATTAGAGTATTTGATTTATATAACAACAATGATTATACCAACAACAATTTACATAACCAATCTAACACATTTTACATTAAACATTTTTTATTTTTCTACTGTACACAATTCAAAGAAATTTTAAAATGTGTTTGATTATTCAATCGGTGTGATAAATCCTTACATAAGATAATCTTTTCTTGTTGTATAGATCAAATACTGTAATATAATACGATACAAGAGTTAGTAGTACGAAATAAGCTAATAATCTTAATGTTTGTTTGTACTTTTTGCCGGGCAACGCCGAGCGTATCTACTAGTTAAATATAGATTTGAACTGTAAAACTTGTACGAATAAATTGCCCCGCATTACCGCTTGCCCCGAACAAGCAATACACCTGTTCCAACACTGTTCAAGTGATGGGTTAAACGTAGCCTCGTCACAATATATATATAGAATATAGTAAAAATAAATGGCTCCCGACAAGTTCATCTACGAAATTATTCCTAATTTAGTAGACTATATTATTTGCATTTCACTAATGAATGTAATTAATTAAAATCCGTAAATCGAGTGAGAAAAAACGTCTGATATTTTAAAATTATTTATAGTGTACGACGAACGGCTTTTTGCCGAGATTTTCCAAGAAGTTGTGTGAAAACAATGCTTATCAAAGAAGTGTGTGAAAATTTCGACTATTATTGTAAAAAGGAAAACTTCACCGAAGAAGATTTAAAGGTAAATATTATAAACTTTCGCTAAGTTGCTTACCAAAGTAATCAAGTATTATTTAAGAATTCTTTCCTTTCGATTTCCAGATTCTCACAATTGTATACAAATTTTTTAACGATTTAGACACTTTAAATGAATTATGAATTTCAATGTATTAATTCTCTGTTCTGATTATTTATATAATTCATTTTGAAAATATTTCTGTAAATAATTTACATATTTATTAGGGATATAGATCAAATTTTCGTGGTCTGGACTATAAGGGCTGTTAAAGTGGTTGATTTTGAAACTAACTTCCAATTTTTAAAATTCCTTTTTATTCTTTTCTACTGTTTTGTGGTTATTTAAAAATTTATATTACAACTAGCCATTCACTAATTTTGAACTTTATCGCGTCACAAGCGCTGGAGATGACGTTATCCAAAAATGAACAGATGAAGCAATTGTTCTTGCTTCATCTATTGCTTCATCTGAAATAAAAATTGTATGAAATTGAGTTATAATCTAACACTTTCGTTCAATTTTTAGTTTCCTTATGACTTCTGGCACGAGTATAATCGGTCAATAATTGATGAATACGGTATTAGAGAAGAAGATATTTTACCTTTTCTTTCAGATAATCAGTAAGAAATTTTCAATGTGTACTAAAATTACGAGACAAAATTCGGAAATTATATCTGTTGGCTATCTATTTTTCACAGTAGTACATTACGAACAATTCAATTGGATGATTTATTAAGACAGAGGAACTGTTATTCTATTCAGCCTGAAGTTTATATGGAGCGGTATAAGATGCACGATATTATTGATAATGGTAAGTATTATATATTATATATATATATATATTTGTAAATAATCGATAGTTATATTTGAATTTATAGTTGAATCTGTCGATCTCGAATCTCATGGAAACGAGAAAAAAATTCAAGATAGGTTTCGAGATATAGAGATTCTTACATATGTGAGGTAAGCCGTTGCGGGTGAGGAGTATAACGACAGCCGACCGGTCTACTCCGTCGTGTGGGAGTATCACTGAGACAGGTTTCTATCGTAAACCGTTTACTAAACATAAAAATGATGCTTACAGCTACTTTTAACAATCGGCGTAAGGCCTATTCAAGGACGAACCAGTTCGTATAATAAAAAGAGTTCAATTGTCCAAGTGTACGCTGAGCTGCCGGTGAAACGACGCGGAGAGCGTCGGCCCCGGGGCGCACTGCACACTTGTATTCGACGGTCATCGTCGGGAAACACTTGGGCGAACTTGCGGGTTAGCAGTCGAAGACAATTCCAAACCGTCGACTCTGGTTTCGTTGATTACGAGACGGGAGCACAAAACTTCTGTGAAAGGAGCGCTACGAACTCGAGACTAAGAACTTTTAATTAATGTCCTTGAAAACGCGGTTTTATAGATTTTTCCCCCGCAGTCGCCTCTCCATTGGTCTCTCATTGTTACTTGCTGACAATTCGAAACCCGATGAAGGGCGCGGGAGAGATTGCGACCGAACACGACTCCTCTCCGGCCGTGTTTCTTCGACTTTAGTCATGCTATTGTTTTAAATCTTTAAAAAAACTTCCATTGTTCAACTCAGGTCTTTAATTTCCTCCATTTGTGTTGTAAAACGTGGGTATTATTTGTGTTCAAGACCAACACATTTTCGGCGACTGACCTTTCTCAGTCGCCAGGTTTTGGGAAAATAATAAAACAAATACATTACAATAGATTTTTAATAAGATTTATTTTAATTGAATTTTTCTGGCTTTCATTTCAGCAAATTCATTAATTACATCTTTATAATTAATATTTTTAACGATATTGTATTCTATCGAAATAATAGAAATATTCAAAGAGCGACATTGATATTTGGGTAAGACTCAATTAAACCAAAATCATGAAGAGCCTGTAGAATATTAAGTGGAGATATTTTGTATAAGAGTCGTTACTTTAAACTTAAAACTTTCAATTTCACTTGTGAATTCGTACTTTTTTAAATTTTTGCGATATTTAATAGTGAGATCTGTAGCCGATTTTTTAAAATCAGTAACACTTGTTTATTGTAAAGACGAGCCACAAAAAAAAAACAAAAATCGTCAGATAGTTTTCGTTTTTTGTAACGCCAATCTATTTGACACAATAGAGTGTCAAGAACACTGTAAATTTGTATTTTAAATAATTTTTCGGGTGTCGAGTTACTTTTTTCGTCTGGTGTTTTATATATTTCCATTATCTTAACTTTTTTTTTCGTTTATTAAGAAATCCCTTTTCTATACTTTTTGTTTTTTTTAAGAATATGATCAATAATAGCATCTGTTAATATTGTTGGCCATAAAGATATATCATTTAATACTTCCATGTATCTATATATATCGAAGGGCTTATCTTTTACTTGATGAAATTTGTTTTACATCTCAAATGTTTTTGTTTGGATTTAACACTACCGAAAATCTTCTCTTGTACTGTACAATAAACTGTAATATAAATTCTAGAATTACTTTCTTAATAATTTTATGTTTTGGTTACATTAAACACGAAAAATTACGATTAACGTTGTTTTTCTTTCTTTCTAATTGCATTTTACATATAGATACAAAAGCAATTGGTTCACTTTTTATAAGATTTAACCCCGAGGAAACGACTTATCCAGGTAAGCCAATTAGTGTCGTAGCATCATTTCATTCTAAAGATGACATCGTCAATCCATTTATAAGTGGAATTACTATGACTCCAGGAAACGCATACATCGTCCAGTTAACACCCGCAAGTGATTGTTGAATTCGAAATAAATACTTCTACTTTCGACTGAATTTATATTCAATTTTGCTTTTACAGATTGTAAAAACTCTTTTACCTTCTCCATTCAGCACAAACTGCGAAAACTACTTCGATTCGCAAAACAATTCATTTTCATTCCCTCGCTATGTGAGTTAAAATAAATGTTAATTTCTAATTAAAACAATAATGCCTAAATATAATTTGTATTCTTTAGCGTTGTCTGGCGGAATGTAAAAAAGAACTCTCGCTGAAAAAATGTGGGTGCATATTATCTGATTATCCTTTTGTTACTGATGAAGTTTGTGATAGTTTGGGTAAAAGTTTATTTATTTATAAGTTGGTATGAAAAGTAAAAGAAATAAAAATGAACGAGCAATTATTAATGATATTTTAAATTTATTTCATTTAAAATATATTCTCTGTACGTCAAATTAATACTGTTGTGTCTTGCCCCTGTACACCATACTTGTCCGTTAGCAAAGGAGTCGTGCCAGACATATATCTAACTGCTTTCAAGGGATGTTTTGAATTGAAATAACTTTCGGTTTGCAGCGGAAGTTCTTTTATAGTTAATCGAAGCTGCCTTACCCTGTAGTTTCGAACTCTCGTCTTAGAGTTTATTTTTCTAATTCCGTTCTCAAGAGCGAGGAAGGACAGTCGGACGGTGAACAGAAGTGGAAATTTATAGTTCTACAATTTTTTCTTATTGCAGTTCAATAAATTACGGTTTGTTCCTTAAGTATGAATTGTATATTCTTAAGTATACTCAATTCACACTTAAGTAACAAAAAACAGTAAAATATAACTTATTCATTTTTATTTCTTCATATTATATAATTTATATTATTTCATTTTATTTATTCATATTTATCTTTTTAGAATTTCTGAATTTTCCTTGTTCAATAAACATGAAATTCTGCACGGATAAATGTCCAAAAAGTTGCGAGTAAGTACAATCTTCTTTATTTCTAATTAAATAACCGAGAAATTAGAATATTAAATATATATACGTTTTAAATAAAATCATGAAAAACAATAAAATATTTCAAATCCATATTATTTTAGTTATCATTTTAATTCTCAAATTTTAGTTTTTCTCCTTTTTTTGAACTTTTCTAAATACGAATTACAAATAATACTTTGTAAAAATAATCACTTATTTATATTTAAAAAATGATCAGTTTTTAGATTATATTATTTATATTTTACTTGTGTTTAATAGAAATTGTAACGCTATATCGTTCGTTTTATAAGTGTAGTCATTATGAACGTGAAAATAGCCAAGTTTTATTGTTTGCTTGTTATAAATATATAGTAAAATGGGATGCAATAGGTCACTGTTATCAAACTACATCCCACTGGCCAAATTCGATCAGCGACACATCACTTATAAATGATAGAAGTAGGACTACTTTTGCTACATCCTTCGATTATAACAATTTCTGCAGCGTGTTGAATATCTGTCTACACATTACACAACTGTAATTGTTGCTTTATTGTCTGTTGTTTTCTCTTTTTTTACAACCGATTTCTTTAAAATTACATAATTTTACATTTTTTTTATAAAATGAAATGTAAGATGATAAAATTTTACCTAAAAGTTATTTTAAATTCATTCATTTATTTAGTTCATAAGATATTTTATATGCTTGTAGGCCGGCGGTTCTCAATCCGCGGTACGCGGAACACTTGAAATGGCTTAGGAACACGGGTGCTCCGCGGCTTTAGGCATATAAAATAACTTCTGATATTCATTATAATGTCTTTGTTATGTATAAGCGATATTAAGAGATAATGTACAGTACGTGTTGAAATATTGAGAATTTGATTATTTACATGTATATTAAAGTTAAATTTTAATAAATAATACATACTTGTATAAGTATAAAACGTATATATACTTATAAATATTTATAATTTTTTAAGGTTTACAGTGTTTGAATACAGTGTGAGAGAAAAAACATTCGATTCTGTAAGTCGAGTAATATTAAAATATAAGTAATATGCAAGTTTTAAATAATACGTTATTAATTTTTAAATTAATAATGCGAAATTAATACTTTTATTAACGTTTCAGAAAATGTTTAACGAGAAGGTACTGAAAAGCAGGTAATTTTTAATTTTCCAAGTAGAAATAAGTAAAATTATAAACGATAATTTAAAACTTATTTTCTAGAGATGAGTATGCCAGAATACATTTAATATTTAAAACTCGAGAATTATATACATACAGTTTAAAACCCAAGTTTCAGGTAAATTTAATTTATAACCTAAAAGAAACGTGAAGAATTAATTTTTTCATGAAAATTTTATAATTATATTTATTTTCAGCCCATCGAACTGTTTGGCTACGTCGGAGGATATATTGGGATTTGGCTGGGAATATCTCTGATCGCAGTTTGCGATTTCCTAGAAGCCATCTTTATTTATTTCTATCATATTATTACCAGAAGAATTCCTAATATAAAGTAACGATAGAAATTTACTCATTCTCTGAAATATTTACATTTTAGATATTGTATAACTTAATTACGCCTATTAGAATGCCTGATTTTTCTACCGTGTTCCGTTTTTAATTTAAACTTAATTTTATTTTACCAATATAACTGCTCTTTGATTACGATAAATGATCATAATATAATGTTTAATAATTATCGTTAATTTCGAATAACGTCAGCTCTGTGCGGATGTCTCTCAACGTCTCGTGTAAACAAGTATTTTTAGATTTTGAATCTATTTTGAAAGTAATGACGTAATAAATAATACGTCGTTTTGAACACAATTTCGTATGAAATTCGAAACTTCTGATAGAATTAAAATATTCGCGCCGTTCTCTATATTATGGTGAGAAGAGGAGAACAAAGGGTAAGGCTAAAATAAAAATTTTGCTTGTTTTCTTTGTGAAGCACGGAAAACTGTTTAAGTCACGTAAAAAAGAACAAAATACAAATCTGAGACTCATTACAGTTTTCACGTGTCAATGAACACATATGTAGCTATGTTTGAAGACTTTACTAAGGCACATCTGGTTATATCTATCACATCTCCTATACTGCCATATACGTTTGAATTTCTCACGGCTTTCAAATCAGTCTTTCAAACCTAATTGAATTAGACTGGGTCATTTTTATAGTAGTTTTTTTTGGGTCTTCTTTTTCTCTGCCCATCTTTCAAACTTGGTCATACTGAAATGACTAATATACTCGATATCTATATATAAAATAACAATTCGGTGATAGGATATTTTTTTGTTATACAAAGCTTAACTCGTTAAGCTCTTGTTTTCCAGTAACGTAGTTTAAACGAAGAAAGCAATCTTACAATATTGTAACACGGTACTCTCGACTTTGAAATGACCATCAAAAGTGAATGTGATAGGCACCTTTAGGGACATCCGAGAGGTGTAGTTTCCGGATACAAGACTGGATGAAAGGACACTTAAAAATAATTAATGCCACCTCGTCCGAACCGAAAAAATGCAATTAGATGACTTTTTAGTTAATAATCGAACATTCTGTTTATATTTTTTATATTTTGATTTTAAAAAGTTATAATTTCCGTATTGACTACAAATATTTCCGAATTTTACTTTAATTTAAAATCTAAAATATTTAATAGTAAATCAAGCTTTCTATTAAGGAACATATAGGTGATTAATCCGACTCTCGAGAGTTGATGTTTCCATTATAACTTTTGAAATAATTTTTATGTACGTTCGCTTATACTTTAACTCTGTAGTTTTGAATTCCTTTCAAAATTGTCTTCAAATGATGTATTCTTTACTGTGTTTGGATTTGGCATTACATTTCAAAATGGGCTCAAACGCTAAAAACATATTTGCTTGGGGTGTTGCAGAATTTTTGCACCAATAGTTTTCACTTCGAGCACTATACTAATGTGTGTTTAATGCAGCAGTATTCTCACAACCTACGTGTTGTGTAAATATCTGATTACGATAGAATAAACAGAATAATTTTAAATTCATTCTATGTTATAAGTGGTATTCGTAACCGGATCTACTGTTTTAGAAACGAAAGTACAGACATTTCTTTCTTAGCGTTTTTTAATCTAATGTCTTTTGGTTTTTAATACGAATTTTTAATATAATTGAAAGGTATTGTTATGGCTAATTATACCGACTAATTAAACTGTTCAGCTAGTATAAATACTATTTTTCATACAAATTTCATGATATAATTTAATTTTATTATTTTACTGATTATTATTATGTAGAAAATATAATATAACAATAAAGATTTTTAATGAATATACATTTAATTGTCTGATCAGAATAATTAGCCGTAATTGCAAACAGTCACATATTTTGTAAAATACTTTTGTAATATTTATATAAATTTTGTACTAATATAAGTAGATTTAACCTATTACACGTTAACTAAAACTTAATCTGACTGTAATTGTCATCGATGTAATAATTTACAAATTTTTTCAAACACACAATATAAAGTTATTTTAACAAATATACATATTCAAAATATTAAGTTTATATGTTATTCTACAAATATATATATTTATATATATGTAGACTCTTTTCGCTCTGATGGCACTAACTTGGCACTAAGATGCAGACTCCCTCACCGCCTCTGTTATCTGGAGAAAGTTATACGGTTACTTAACTACTTAAATATTTAAACTTCTATATTTGTTGAAGGTAATTTATGTCGGAAGTTTTAATTTTCAATTTGAATATTTATAAATGATTAAAATTTAAAAACCGATCCTTATAAATAAAGGAACTTGTACATTTTCACTAAATTAATCAATGAAGTTTCAGATATTGAAAGTAACTATACTATTTATAGCCTACATTTCATCACTAATTTAGCTCGTTTGTTTTCTATCCGATTAAATAGTAATGCTACAATTAATTTCCATCAGGCATCATACAAACAACGAAAAAGTAATATTTATAGGCTGGAATTCTATAACAACTCTGCTCGAAATTATTCATATTTAACCTAGAAAAGGTAAGTTTTGTTTTTATATTTTTACCACTTTTTGATATCTAAATTTAAACTGATGTTTCTTCGTCAGTTGAGAGGCAAATATGATAGAATATATTAAAAATCCAAGCAGTAAAGATATGAGTCGATATCTTAGAAGAGTATTAGAGAAAGTCATCTTGACGGGAATTCCTCAAATCGTCACAGATCCAAATATCAAAAGGAAAATATTTAAATTATTCATTTTCTCAGTACTTTATATGGATTTTCCTTTCAATTTACTCAATTCCTATTATTATATTTCATAGATTTGACTAAATTAAAAGTCTTTGTAAAACTTATGATCCAATCATCTTCCGAAACCAACAATTACAGATTGTGACACCGACGAGTGAATATTATTTTAAATTCAAACTTTTATTACCACTTAATTATTAAATTACTTCTTGTTGCGATTATTATCCATCAGGACAGTAGTTTATTAGGGAGCTTATCACAGATTAATAAAATTTTGAATTTCACATTCAAAGTTTTATTATTAGACTATTTTTACACTTCGAGCGAAGTATTTAGATCTATTTTAAATTACTATTAATATTTTTGTTACCCGATTATTATAATAAATTACCCGTCGTTCAACTATTTATGTATAAATATTTTATATTTAATTATAAATATTTGACGATCCCTCGACGACGACGACGAGGAAACTGTTTATAATTTAATATAACGTTTGTTTTTCATTAATGATATATAAAATTAATTTAAGTTATTACCGTAGCTCCGGAGGTGAAAAATTTCCTGGGGTCTTTGAAATTATTTACAGAGAGAGACCAAGAGCATTTTGTGAAGATTTTAAAAAAGATATTTGAAAATAAACAAGTAAAACGGCAAAACCGTATTTGGGACAAGACCATGTCTCGGAGACAGAATCACTTTGATGCTCGAGGCAGGTCTCGTTCTCATTCTCTTATCTTCTTTGATATCGCTGCTTTTGGGCGCCATCGTTCAAACTTCGCCGGCCACCATCATTTTCCATGAAATTAACCTATCCAATTTCGAAATTTCTCTCCGTTACGTGTCGGCCCGGGTCGAATTTTTGTCGATGCCTAACGAAAATTTCCCGTTTATGAAAAAAATAATCGTGGCTATTGTGTTGTCCGAAATTATTTTTTATTTTGCGCAAACAATATAGGCCTACAGTTTAACCCGATTATAACGTCATCGGATGTAACGACGACCCTAATATAACGTCAAATTTTTATCGGTCCCACGATTTTACTATACTAGATAATGTTAAAAAACCTACTTGTAACGACATAAAACCTTGTTTTAATGTCATATTTGAAGCGCTCCCAAATTTACAAAATTAAATTACAAATTTTATTTAACGTAGAAGAAACCACGTGTTCGGTCCTAAGGTCGGAGTTCGCTTCTTAGAACGACTGCAAGTGGTACTATCCCCCACCCAACTTCGGTGGGGTGAGGTCAGTGGTGATATTCAGCGGGATCGCACAGGTTCGGCCGAACCCGTTGTTAAAATTTTCAAAGTTTTCCGAACCCGTTGTTAAACACACGTAACATTTCTCAGTCGTTTTGTTTCTTTTAAAAAATATATTAAGATATATGTATTATACTCTGTAACACTACTAAACTAGAGCCTTATACCCTGTTCGCCTGGTCCAACCTCCATCGACCTCCTCAATCTCGACTGAAACGAGGTTAAATCGCGATCGACTCGAGAGGGTGCTCGGAACTATAGATCCAGTCATAAGAGAGATCCCACAATCCCACGCGCGTGAGAAAATACAGGATGGCTGCAAAACACGTGTCGGGCTATCAACAGCGAAATAAGAAAGATATTGTATTTCGAGAGACGATGACATCTGTCTATTATTATAATAATACCTAACGATAAAATAAATGATTTAGAAAAGCTTTTCTTGTTTAACTGTTTTCCGTGACTTTTTCTGATTAAAAAAAAGCCAATTTTTATGTTTATAAAATATTTTGAATGAAAAATATTAAAATATGTACAAAATAAACCATTTTGAACACTCTTTTTTATTATTTATCAAAAAAATATAGTTCTGGCATAAACAATGTTAAATTTTAACTGACTTAATTTTGCGAACACATCTTTTTTATTTATATGGGTATCTTAAGGTCTGTTTTTGCGCTAATGTTGCTAATGCACCATTTGAGCGAGAAAAAAAAATTGTTAAGGAAAAATTTTCTGTTAGAGAACCCTTTGTTAAATATTTCGAATACAGTGGTACCTCAGGTTATGAACGCCCCAGCATACGAAATTTTCAGGATACGACATGAAATTCGAACATATTTTTGCTTCACGATACGAACAAAACCTCACCATACGACGTTACATTAGTTCGCATTTTTTATTTGTTTTTATTACTACAGTTATTTTTTTAAATGTATTACTTGGCTTTAATTTGAGTATGTTTTTCGCGTTGGAACGAATTATTTGGTTTTACATGTAATCGTATGGGAAAAGATGATCCACCTTACGACATTTTCATGATACGATTTCAGTTTCGGAACGGATTAATTTCGTATCCTGAGGTACCACTGTATCACCACTGGGTGAGGTGCCTGTTTTGCCTGTATGTAGAAGAGAGTCACCATTTTGTATTTTATTTTGACTCGGTTCTCGGTCCCCCGACTATCTACGAGTCTAGGTTTTTTCATGCCCAAATGATTTGGCCACCTAATACTCTGTGCCAAATATCGACTCTCGACGTGTACTTCTTCATACTTCTATGCTGGTAACATAAAACGGCAGTACGATTTTATAAAAAGACATAGTCTTGTCAATGAAATTAATAATATTAATTGTTTAATTTAATATTTTCATACATCAATATTAAGGGCCGGATGGCCGAACGGTCCCGAACGAACCCCCACCGCTCTGGGGGACCCGGGATCGAATCCGAACGGGTCAGGAAAATTTCAGGTGTGGACCGTTCGGACAGGACGGGCCCCGTCCGTCACCACCCGGCCGCCTGGCCAAACCCATAATGGTCCTGCTATAAGAAGCCCACATGGGGGAAAGAATAATAAAAAAAACATCAATATCAAGTAAGAAATATGATATCTTATTATCTGTTAAGTCAAATTTTACATCCAAGTTCTCTAGCCAAATTTGGTTATTTACGATTAAAACACAAGTTGAGTGCTTAAACAAAGGAAGAGTATGAAGCTATAGGAAACAACATACCGTTCTCATTGTGGATACAAAATTTGTCACATAGAATTCGTGAAATTTTATGCAAAACTTTTCCTAATTAATTAGATATATATGTACTGTTGTATAAAAATACAATCATTCTAATAAAATTCAAAAAGATAGTCTACTCGAATTTTAAAATCCAGACTTCTACTGTCTTCAGCAGTATAATTACAACTTCTTCACAGAAAAATACAACATATACAAGAAATTTCTACCATAAAGTTTTTTTCTGGCTGAAAGGACCATTATCATAATATCAAACATATTAAAAACATTGTTTAGAACACAAAACATACTGTAACATTCGATCCAATAAATTTGGGACATAACAATCGAAAATTATTACGTTCAAATATTAGTTAAATTTCAATTTAAATGCTTCATTAAAGACATTCGAAAATTCTATTATTTTAAATCAAATCAAATAAATTAAAATTATCGTCTATATTTCTTTTAAACAACTTTATTCTTGTTATTTTCCTTCTTCCTTCATTTCTGTACAGGTACCATTTCCATGCGCGTGGCAACTTATTAATATAGCATTTTATTGGGCCGCAATTTGAAAAATTGCATTTGTAGACCTGTAAATTCCCACTATCGTCCGTCCGTCCGTCAGTCTGTCTTTCCCTAATCTCTAGGACGGAGTTAGAGAGATGAATTACAAGAGGAGAGTTGAAAACGTTACGTGCAAGAGGTCCCTATTAAGTGTATACAAACTTTCGATGCAAACCAAAGGTTGCGTTAATTCAATTCAAAATTTTCCCCGAAAGCAGTTAATAGATGACGGCACGACTTTATTCCTAACGAATAAGTATGATGTACCGTACAGGGAAAAGACACTATTAATTTGAAAGTGAATAGCATATATTTTAAATTAAAAATATTAAAACTTCAGCTATAAAACGTGCTCTATCGAGGAGTGTACGTTTTTTTTTTTTTTAAATCAATTATGTGTATAGAAATAATAAGTTAAAATATGGTATTAACAAATTACTAAAAATTGCTTTACAATATATTTTGTCAAATTTCTTAAAAACATTTGAGAGTTACCTTCTAAAGTGGATTTACCATATTACCTGTCCATTTACGAAAGAAAGTAGTCCGAATCCTCAAACCATACACCGAGTTCTTCTCTAACGAATCGGCTGTCATATATGCATATCGATTACAATACAAACAGGATCATTTAAAATAAATTTCGATAGTGTTCAGAATTACCGCTGAATACACCAAAATCCTAGGTATATCTGCAGTAAAGTTTATATAATTTCAAACAGTATCAATATTCCGATAGTTTCTGAATATTGCTTTCGTTCACAAAGTGAAACGATGTGCATTTTGGTGACTTACTCGTCTTTCCCAATTGCATAAATGCGTTGAGAATAGAATAGAGACTACTCAACATCTAAAAGTGAAAATAACAAACTGTATTAGAAATAAACAATTAAAAAAATACCTTAATGTAAACAAACCATACTTTAATCGGAAAATTACGTTTGACTCGAAAAAATCCACCCACGGATATTCCAATCGGAGTTTTCCCGAATCTCTTCACGAAATTCAGCATCTATTTAAGAAACAATTTACAAAATATTAAATCATCATAAAGTACAGATGTATAAATTTATCTTACCTTTAATTTGAATACAAGAGAAAATCTCGATGCAAAGAATCTGTCGATTTTGTTGAAGTTTCCATAAAGCTGAATTAATTAAAGTAATTAATTTTCAAGGCATCAACAATAGTCTATAATACAGATATTAAAGAAGCCTTACCGAAGATGTCAATCTGGACAAACCAAAGGCAATTATCATATATTCATATATGACGTACAGGATGATGATCACTGCACCTATTTCGAATTCTTCGGGTAAATTGTAAAAAGCAACT